AGCACAGCTCCAACAATTGATGTGATCATGGGCAGTCATTTTACTCCAAATATTACCAAAACAAAAAACTTATCATTGTATGTAAACTACTGAAATATAAGTATACTTAATTTTATCTATTTCACAATGCACAAACTTTTTACTTACATTAAGCGGTGGTCCTTGTCAAATGATCTTAAGCTAAATACCTCCGAATATCACATTATTAATTTCCCTTTCAAATACAAACGCGACTTACATGAACTGGTTTGTTCTCATGATTCTGGTGTAACACAATGCACTGAATTTGAAACTAAGTCGAATATTAAAAACCGTGGGTTACTTCTTCCTCTGGTCTCTCCGTTTCTTTCCACATAATAATAATATGTATGTTCATGAAAATAATGAATTAAGAATATGAGACTGTTGCACAGAATACCTTTCTATGATGTGTGACAAAGTGCCTGTAAGTTTTGGACTAGAGTATCAACAGAGTAATCTAACTAAAAGGATTACATTTGTTCATTCAACATCACAAAATGAAATTTTCCTGACTGAAAACTAGTTTTTTAGAATCATTTTGTCTTAGGATGAGTGTTTAGGAGGACCACACATATAAACTGGTTACGCGATTCGCATAATAAAATCTCGCATAATTAAACTTAACTAGTAGCTAACTAGTGAATTCAGCTACCACTATGGGTGTGATTAACCTCCCCTAGTTAACTGGCTTGCTAGTTTTCTAGCCAGTCCCAAGCCCGGGTAAAGAGAGAGGGCTGGGCGTGCGGCTAGCTGCCCTACACCATTAAACCTATCAAACTGCTAGAGAAACTTCAAAGCAAAAAAATATGTTAAAATAACAAAAATTCAAATAACAATCTTATTCTTCGCTAGAATCGGAGAGGCGAAATGACACAAAGGGCTAGTGAAAGCCTTCAGGAAGCCAGTCAGCCGATGTGTCTTCTCTCGATGAAAGCAGGAATAAGAATGTGGACGTGGAATGTCTTTACAATGTAGGAGACTGGGAAGGTTGCCTGAGTAGCCAAAGAAACACGAAGATCTGGCACAGAAGTGCTGGGTATTTGTGAGAGCAGATGCAATGGATGTGGATTATCGAAATTGTCAACTGGAAAGTCAGTAATCGACTGGTTCGGTTACCCACACGACAACCACGAACACATTGAGGCAGTGAGTGGCTATCATGATTTCACCAGTGGCAGCCAAAGCCCTAATGCAGTGAGAACCAATCCAATCACCCAGGATCATCATAGCAAGATTCAATTCAAAAGGCAGGAAGGAAGGTGACAATTATCCTATGCTATGCACAGTGCTACAAACAACGCGGAATAAGAGAAGGAGGACTTTTACAGACAATTACAAACAGTAATGGACAACATTCCGAATGGCGATATCAAAATCCTTATAGGCAATATGAATGAAAGTCAAACTGGGTGCAGATAATACAGGAAGAGAACTCATCATGGGTTGAGAGGATCTCGGAGAAATGAGTGACAATGGAGAACTACTCACAGACTTCTGTGATTTCAATGATTTGGTGATCGGATGGAGCGTGTACAAGCATAAGGATATACACAAAGCAACATGGATTCCGCCCGACGGACACACCACAAACTAAACAGATTTCATCTCAATGTCGCTGAAGGAGGTAGAGGCACAACCTGCTGGACACAAAGTCGAGAAAGGGAGCAGATTTGGGCTCAGACCATCATCTACTTCAACGAACTTTTAAGGTGAAGCTGAAATCCGTGAAAGCAAATGGAGACAGAGCACAATTCAAGTTCAACATTTAGAAACTGAAGGACAAAACTACGAGGGATGCCTTCGCTACAGATATCAGAACAAAGTCGGACACACTACGTGGCATCACTGAAGAAAACTGTGTAGAAGAACACTGGAACTCTCTGAAGGTGATGTTCAAGGAAACGTGTACAACTGTTCTAGGAAGAAAGAAGAGGCAAGATGAGGAATGACTCTCAACAGACGCCTGAATGCTAATTGAGGACAGGAGGATGGTGAAAGAGAAGATGACTCAATGCAAAGATGGACAACAGAAGGAGAAGCTGAGTTTAATGTACACTGCACCGAATAAAGAGAGAATTGAAGAGGATTGCTAGGAAAGACAAAAGACAATTCTACGAAACACTGACCGGCAACTGAAGCATAACGTGCAGACTGTAGGTAAGAGAGACCTCAGAACATTATATCAGATAACCAAGTCTCTAGCTGGGAAGAGATCAACGCAGATGAAACCTACAAAAGATGTTCCAGGGAATCTAATTACCAAGGAGGGGAAACAAATAAAACAATGGGTTGATCATTTTAATAGACTCTTGAATCGACCACCACCAACAGCACGCACAGAACTGCTTACATGTGGACACTAATCCTCCAACGAAAGCAGAAATCTTAAATGCGAGCAACCTACTGAATACCGGCCGGGAAGGTAGCGGAGCCAGACGGAATTCCCACCGAAGCATTGAAAACAGACCCAAAGACTGCGGCAGATGCACACGATATTATTGCAAAAGGTTTGGAAGGAGGCGAAGGTAGCCTACCAATTGGAAGAAAAGCTGGCTATCTTGTCAAGCCACCAAAGAAGGGCGACTTACGCCTCTGCAAGGAATGGCACAGAATCATGCTATTGTTCACGTCCAGTAAAATACTAGGTCGTGTCATCCTGGAGAGAATAAAAGATGCACTGCATGCAGAACTCCCTCAGTTGACCGGAACGAGCTGGATTCAGGAAAAGTAAATCATGTGCTGATCAAATTGCAACTCTATGCGTCATCATTGAACAAAGCATAGAATGGCAGTCAAACCTCTATCTTAACTTCATCGACTTTCAGAAGGCTTTCGACAGACAGCGTTGATCGAGAAGTAATTTGGAAACTAATTCAATACTATGGCATACAGTGACCGGATCTTTATCAACCTCATTCAACATCTATACGACTGTGTTACGTGCCAGGTGATCCACAACGGAAAAGTCAACGAGGCATTTGAGATGAATACAGTTGTAAGAAAAGGCCGGTTGCCTATTATTACTGATGATAACCTTGATTGTGGTGGACTGGATCATGCGTCAGACTGTGTACAGGGAGTGAGGAGACAGCAATACGTCGGACTGACAGATAAAAAGACTCTAGAAGATCTGGATTTCGCGCGTGGATGATTTATGTTTGATGTCACACAAAATCGAAGACTTGCAGGAAGGCATAAACCAACAAACTGGCTGAAGAGGCAGGCAGCGAAGACAGGACTTCAGGTGAACACAGAGAAGGCGGAGTTGATGAAGATAACCAACCAACAGCAACAGCAACAACCAGCACCAATCACCATCAACGGGAGAAATATGATAGAGGTTACCTCCTTCACTTATCTAGGAAGCGTGGTTTCAACCACAGGTGGAACGGATGAAGATGTCAAAGCAGACCAGAATCGGAAAAGTACGATACGCCCTCACCAACCTGAAATCAGTTTGGAAATCTCCTGCACTCAGCCAGCATAAAGAAGAAGATTCGGATTTCCAACACAAATGTGAAGTCAGTCAGTTCGTCTGTACGCGTCAGAAACATGCACTATCTGTAACGGAAAGGATTTCCAACAAGTAAGAGACTTTTATCAGCAGCTGCCTTCGTTGGCTTCATATTGAAGATCAAATGTCAGGTCGGCCAGGAAGAATTAGTAACAAGAAAATCTGGCAACAAACTAACCAAAAGCTGATTGCTCAACAAATATGCAGAAGAATATGGAGATAGACTGGGCATACATTGGGGAGACCGTCGAAGGACATCGCGCACCAGGCCCTCGAGTGGCATCCCTATGGGAAGCAACTAGTAGGTCGTCTTCAGGTGACATGGACGAGATCGTGCGAGGAGGAAATAGGAAATTATGGGCAATTGAGGACCCAGCTGAAGAGGACGGCGGGTGTGTTGTTGAAGCCCTTTGTACCACTCGGAACGCAAGGGAATAGTAATATTATAATAAAAAATGGGTGTGATCACTAAAGAAATAAGGGTATATGTAAATGAAGTAGATGGAGCAGACTAGAACCCAGGACCCATTAGTTTAATGTCTAGTCTAGGAATCACATCTATAGGTATACATCAGTGAACAGATATGTTGTCTTAGTTTGAATCTGTCTAGCCCTCGGTAGCTTAAACCCGATGAGGCATCAAACCCATAGGTACCTGTTCTCGTGAACAGCATTAAACTGTACGTTAATGTTTCGGAAACTATTCAAGGAAAGTTCTTATTTAGTTAGGAAGAAGAGTGATAAATTAAATTACTTGATTTCCAAGTAGTGCTAAATTATTTGCGCGTCATTTTGCAAGCACTTCACAGAGTTTAAAGATATTTAAAAATCAGCTAGAGAATCTGAACGTGACATATCTCTTTAGTAGACTTTGCGCGTTAAGAATTGTATAAAGCTCCTGATATTTTGGATAAGTTCCACATTTGTGTCGGCAACTGATACTGAAGTGAATATCCAACTCCAATTTGCAGTTGCCTCTCTTAATAGTATTGCATCATATTACTTGAGTCATTTGGTGTGATCGCTGATGAAACTGTCGTTTCACTTTGAACTCCAAATGTTTTGCTCAGCTTTCGTATGTATGTATTCATTCATTCGCCTTATTATCTAACTGATTAGTATGAAATCAAAAATGCAAATTACCTAATCATCACTAAAACTCCCGGTTGAACCTAAAATTTATTTCGATTTCAATGCATAATTTTCCTTTCTTTAGAATTAACACTAAATCAAGGAATTAGAAAATTCAGTATCTATATAAAATTTCCAAAAATGTTTTTTAGAAGTAAGTAAAAGCAGTAAAAAGATGGTTGATAAAGAGCGAAAGGCTTAATTAACTGGAGGCTAGCAATTTGTCAAACAATTAGGCACAAGATATCGATTATTTTGTCTATCTGAATTAATCAATGCATGTAATAGCATTGAAAAATTATTTAGAATTCGCACCATCCTGAATCCTCTGAATTTATTTATACGCTGATATAGTGAATAACTCCAGAGAGCCAGGGCCAGATTGACTTTTAGCCTCGTAAACCCCACCATATACCTGTATTCCAACACGTCTCAAATCACTTGCGTTTAATGGTGGCACATTTGGTTGGTATTTTCCACGGAAATATGGTTGAAATGTACTGAATGGTAGGTAGACTTGTTCTCGAGCACCTGATGTCTGTATTTATTGCATAATGAAAATCAGTTATATATATATATATATATATAAATTACCTCGAAAAAGGACTCGTATGAGTAACAGTTAGTATACTGAGGACAGTCATTGTAAAACAACAATTTGAAAGCAGAATTGTTTCCTTGTCTGTGTAAATCAATTGAAATGCCTTGATATTCTGATAAATCCCAGGAGTTTAAATAGGCATCTATGCCAGCAAAACATGCCCCGTTTGGAAGTGGATTGAGTAAGTAGAAAAATATAGCAGACTGGTAGTTCTATTTATAAAAAGAAGTTTTTAGTATTTCTGACAAATAAATGGCCTACTGATGCAATATGTGGTGCTAGTACAGCTTTAGATCGTCCAGCTGTACGAACTGTATCCGACACTTCAATCCATTGATCCAAAAAGGTAGCAGTAGGATCTGTGAAGTTAAATAGTGTCAAATTAACTTCATCATTCGATGACACTGTAGGCAGTGATATTCTTTCGTAGGGGTTAATAAATGTCATGACGATTTTCCTAAGTTAAGGTGTTGTAAGAAGTAATTTCAACTCACAAAGCATTTATGGGGCATGTGGATAGTATTACACAGATTAATAAACGGAAGGTGTATAAATTTGACATTCTCTGGTTGATTCCGAACAGGTAATCGCAGCAACTGTTCTCAGCAAAATTCTTCTGAAAGACAAATTGTTGAGGTAACAGTTTATTTCAAGATGAAATATAGCGTAAATACTTCTGCATAGTTTTAGTTCACTCGTAATTTCCCTACTAAAGTCGAATTCTAACACGCATTAAAATTCTGAATTAGAAGAAACTAGTTTCATTTCGAGTTGGATCCTAAAACCTATACTATCGGATAACCAAGGAGCACCAGATTGCTGTTATATTCAAAAGTGTTCATCCACGTCCCTATACAAAATTCACTGATTGCACAGTAACTCCCGCAAAATATGTAAATCAATAGCCCGCTACAATGTGCGCCTTGTTTGTCAGACTGTCTACATTGATGTCAGTTTGGAGAACGAATCTTAATGTATTAGGGATAGCGCCTGGAGTTATATTAGGAACTAGAATTCCTACCTCTAGGTTACTGGTCCTCTGCTCTGCTGAAACAGCTGCTACATGTAATTTAAGATCATTATCACTGCATAGCTTTCAGTCATCTGTTACATTTTTTCATTTAATGAATCTATTAAACAGATATTATGTGAGATGGTATACTCAATCATCAGTCAGTCGTTATCTACTTAACAGAATTCGATGTACATTTACATAAAGAGAATGACCTAAATGGCTAGTATGATGACTGATAGGTGCTTACGTAGATGTTGTTCACATGACTGCCTGGGTAAGCCACAAGCTCTAAAAAAAAACTATGTCATGGTTTATACCGCAATTGCTGATCTTAGTCAGTAATCCGAAGGTGGTTGGTTCTAATTCCCCTATAATCCTTATACCCCTTTCCACTTTCAGCATGTCATTATTAAGCATACACTACTAAAGACCCACCATAAAGTCAGCTAACATAGAATGCAGTTTGAAATCATTATGATTATTATTTTCAACTTTTTAGTATCTAGATAGAAATTTTCATTTTTTATCTCGAAAATTCGAAATTTTAACTTTAAACGGTAAAAGTCTATTAATGAGTACTAAATTGTTCACAGTACAGCTTTTTGAGTAAGTTGTTTATTTGTACTAAAGGCGAATTTTCATAAATTGGTAAGTAATATCTGAAAGCTGAGATTTTAATAGTGGTATTCTTCACTAATGGCTAATATTTAGTAACCGTCTAAGCCATCTTAACATTAATCAAGTGTATAAATTGATCTTTATGAATACTGTAAGTTGATCAAATGACCTGATTCCATCAGTCAAACTGCAATAATAATAATAATTTATAAACGTACAATAACTACGAAATGATATCATCTCGCGAAATTTGTCTTCTAAATGCTTCATTCAGATTTATCAAAAGGACTAACTGTTTTAATTTTCTCAAACGAAGGTTCTTTAAAGATACTATAAGACTTCTGAATGGTCTTCTGAATATGAGATGCAAAACTGTCATTCACCCTGAACAATTAAGGTTTTATCACAACCGCATAGAAAATAAACATTATCTTATACCGTTTTACAAATCACTACGTCGGAATAAGTCAAAATACTCACTCTCCAACCTTTGGCATCTTGCTGAATTAGAAACTGATGAAATTAATGACAAACTTTCAAAATTAATCGAAACACATCAAAGACTAATCCCCATCATGGATAATTTATCTTTAGTATGTCAAATTAAATTCACTATATTTTGCAATGATATGGTAATAAAGACCATAAGTTCCACGGAACAAAAGTTAACAAAATCTTTGAAAGACACGAATCACATTTTGGAATTTCCTGAGGATGTGCACAAGCATATAATTGATTTATCTTCCTGCACTGTATGCCAACAACAGTTGGAGGCATTATCGTACAGATTGAAATACAAAACTATCCCTCCGAAAATGAACAAAATGGAAGTCCAATCACAGTATGAAAACCTGAACAAATCTCTGATTTAATCCCATCTAGTAAAGATAACCTAGACTGGTTTAGAGTTAAACTGGTGGGCATTTATCACCGATTTCTAAATGCCAGAATACATCAGAAAAATGGTTTATCAAAAGAACACCACGCCATACTTAAGTAATTAATCAAAATAGATAATCTTATTATCTTTAAACCTGACTAAGGAGAAGGCGTTGTCATCATGATTAAATCAGATTATCAAAAATGAAATCAATGAAATCCTTAAAGATCAGTCCAGATTTCTGGTGGATAATACTGCTGATAATGTGCTCCTTGTGGAAATGCAGATTAACTGTCAGCTTGAAATCTTACTGAAGCATGATTTTATAAATGAAAAACTTTATCAGCAACTTAAAGTTATTGGATCACATGCTCCTCGAACGTATGGCCTACCAAAGATTCACATACTTGGGAACCCACTGAGACCCATCTTAGATATGTCAAATTCTCCATATCATAAAGCCGCGAAATGGATTACAGAGGTCCTTACGCCAGTAGGAGACTCCTTATGAAATCATTCCATAAAAAGTTCATTCGATCTGACCAATATGCTAGACACTTTGAACATTAAGGAGAACGTTATGTGCTCAGGCAACATAGAATCTTTATTCACCAATGTTGCACTTCATGAAACTGTTGATTTCATTTGCGACCAAATAACATGCAATGGGGTACAATTACCTATTCTTGTCACACTGGAGACATTATCTTAACATGTACGGGAAATATCAGATTCACTTTACAAGAAAAGGCATGCAAATAAGTCGGTGGTGTTGCGATGGCGAGCCCTCTTGGACCCCTGTTAGCAGATATATTCATGTCTAAATTGGAAAAACAAATGCAAGGTATGCTAGGGAATTTTATGTTATATAAACGTCATGTGGATGATACTCTCATTATTGGTAATAATAGTAAGTTTATTGAGAACTTTATTACTCTATTTAACCATATTCATCTAAATATCCTAGTGACTTAGGGATTCGAATCGAATAACAAACTCGGTCTCTTGGATATTTTGTTGACTAGGAGAGACGATGGGACGACTAGGCGATGGATTTTACGTAGGTAGACATGGAGTGGACAATATCTTCATATCACCAGTTTTGTTCCAATCCTGTATAAACTTTCTCTAGTGAAATGTTTGTTTTCAAGGGCCCTCAAAATATGCACAAGCTACACACTGATGGATGAGCTTCGACACATACATTCAGTTTTATTAGTTAATGGTTATCCAGAAAATTTTATCATTTGTCACAGTAAGGATAGACCATATCTTGAAAAGACAGCTTCTGTACCAAAATAGCTATCTTTATTAGCCTACCATTCAGTGATACGCAATTGACATTCAGTACGCAATTGACAGCTCAGAGATTTCGGTCAGCCATCAAGCGCACACTCTGTTTCCCTCACATCTCGAAAATTTTCGATACCTGAACCTAAGATTAAAAGATTAAATTCTGTAGACTCTATAGGTAGGACCAATAGAATGTTACAATGTTGTCGAAAAGAACATGTTCCAAAATGGTTATTAAGACATATGGAAAATCCCAATGCAATTAATTTGAATAGAAATCCATCATTATCCATTTCAAAGCACTTATTAATGTCAGGTCACAAAATCAATATTAATGACAGCTTCACAATTATTTCACATAAATCTAATTTAAGGTTATTAAAGTTGATGGGAGCATTTTGGGTTAATCACATACATCCTAAACTATGTGTGCAAAAAACAATAGGCTTCAACCTTCGCCTACCATAGGCTGACTACTTGACCTATTTTAATATGACTGGTCATTAGTATGTACTTTTGTTTTATATAACAGTAGCTGTCAGGCATTTTATTTTATTTTTGTGAACCATGTTAGTTGTAGAGGGGTTGTAAAGAAACCACGAAATGACATCATCTCACGACATTTGTCTTCTAAATGCCTTATTTAAATAGGTAATCGGTAAAAATGTCAGTGTACATTGATTTTACTCGTAGAATGTTATTTTCGGATCAATGATTTCTTAATTGTTGGACACAGAAAAGGTACTTGGATGTGGATACTTTTTATGATTGGTATTTAATATTAAGATTTTGTATGAAGGCGCAAAAGATGGTTAACTTCTTAATATCAGAACCCTACAAGCATCTCAATTTAACAGTCGGTTTTTCGTTTCAGATTTAAAGATTGTCATATAGCATTAGCATATGATTAAGACATTTATTATCTTGATAGCGTTATTAGAAGACGGAGATTATCTGAAAAATGTGATGTATTTGCGCTATACATTTCGAACGATCTGATCATATCTAATCGAGATGAACCATAAGGTTGATGTTAACTCAGCCTTTAAGGTCATCTATAAAAACGGTCAAGGGCGTTTACTGAAATACGCTGAGGTTATAGCTATTCACAAACTTAAGCCCCCCTAGTTATTACTCTTAACCTACCTTGGTAATCCTTATTTGATTGGATTACCAAACGTTTGTGTTAATTATTCTTAATTCTTTTTTTGTCACTTTGTTTAATTTAACTTTTCCATATATACTGACTTGACAAGTAAATGTGTGATCAGATTGTTCGAAATGTATAGCGCAAATACATCACATTTTTCAGATAATCTCCGTCTTCTAATAACGCTATCAAAATTTATAATAGGGACTAATTGTTTTAATCATTAATTATCATTGTTCTGTTTTTTTTCCAGAGATTAAGTGGCACAGTATTTGACTGCCTGGTCCGCAGAAAATTAGCCAGCAGAAGTCAAGGTCAAATAAATGTGATTTATGAAGCTGACGGTATAAGACGTATTGCTGTATCGCTTAAAAGATATGGAATTATAAGTGAGCTAGTAATTGAACATATATACTTTAATACATTTGAACAGCCTAGTTACTTGTTATGTACTGTCAGCCATCTACATTAGTGAACAGATTTATCTACAGGATGTGATCGTCACGCTAAAGTGTGTGAAATGTCACACTCTAAACTGTTAACCACAATCACGTGATACTAACTTAGTAAACTCACATTATCGTTACAACTAAGTGCCAGCATTACTAGACCGATTATCCATTATCATTAAACTAATCTCGTATTCTCTCCACTTCTACTTCTGTATCAGTGAATTCTTAATGTGAATTATTAACAAAAGCTCTCCTTGCATGTATGCTGAACTAAAACGAATGTCTCTCATTGTAAACAGAAGTAATGAAGTGATAACAGTATATACTGGATAAGATGAATTCATTTTATTGCTTAAAGTTTTCGTCATTTGTATAGAATAATTAAATATTCACTGTAGATACTCCGACGTACTTAAGATGAGAGGTCAGTTTATTTTTGAAGAGTGAAGAAGGAGAAACAATATATTCCACAGTATACCAGAAGAGACAGAGTAATAAACACTTAGTCAGATTACAGAAACGCCTATAGGGAAAAGACAAGAATATTTTCAAAATTGCAAAATGTAAGCGGATATACATAGAAGTGGTTTCATTTAATTATAAGAAAGAAGGGAGTTACCCAAGCATTTTAGCGAGTGACTAATCATGCTGAAAGCGTGATTAAAAATCAATACTCCAGTTATGTTTGTCAATCAGCGTGTGTATTCCGAAGTCAGAATATATAAAGAATGGAGGTGTCTGGCTGCCAGTACTGTTGAACACAAGTCTAGTGGATAAAAAATTGAGGCTAAATCTGAATTGCTCGCTTGAATTTATCCTTATTTTATAAACCCACTTTCAACCACCTCATAATTGTTGACATAGTTCTCTTATCAAACAGCCAACTAGGTGGGTAAATAAAAGCGCACTTCAGTCTCTACGATATCTAATCTTAGTGAGTGGAGTGTGAATCATGAGCAATACATATGACTACTTATACAAATATATTGTAGAGACCGCCTTTTTGTATGGATTTTTCAAATTTTCGCTAGTTGGAGAGTTTATAAACACTTCGACAAAGTTCCGTCTCCATTTCCATAAAACACAGCCAATTACAATTTGACGTGTTATTAACTACCTCATAGAAATTTCACTTACACAGACCGAAGAAATCTGGTGAGTATAATGATGAAATTTCTAACGAATGTAGTGGTATAAATTTCTTACTATATTTAAGAAGTTATAAATGGATTCAGATGATCATGCTAACATGAACCAATGTAATGTTCTTAGTAGACGCATAAAAATATAAATTCATGTACACAAAATCAAGAGTGATAAACCACTAACCTTTACGGTCCTACTGTCCTACCCAAAATAACAAATTATGACAATAACCTTCATTTTAAAATAATAATACACAGGTCAAACCGACCAACAAACAAACAAAGTAAACTATTGGTCTATAGAATTCATGTATTAATATATTTAACCAATCGAAGTGAATAGTCGTCAGAAGAAAATCAATGCATAAGTGATTAAGTAATGCAAATAAACTACTCTACTGGTCGTCAGAATGTTTACTGTAGGGTAAAAATGATAGGGTATTGATGATACTGCATTCCAAAAATGTATCAGACAGACGCAAAAGAGTTATGATTGGCGGAAACGAAGATAACTAGAACTTCATGACTGACTCAGAGCTATAGGTTACTGAAAACCCCTTATCAGTAATCTGTTTCAAATATAAGAGTCATCAGCCCATCATGAATCACTTTTACTATTCCTTTTAACTTCGAATAATTAACAGAAAGGTGACTTCTTCTTTTGATCTATTTGTTAATCTTTCTATTTGTATTATTAATTTCCCTGTAGTGCTTTAAAATTCCAGGAAACATGAGGTAACATTCTGCTTCATAAGAATGATGTCATGATTACCCTCTAGTCAGTAATACAGTCAGTTGGATTACTTCCTTTTGTGTTCGGTGCTAACATGTATAATGCTGACAAACAAACCGCCTCCATCTTTATTGGTTTTCATAGCTTTTAATGGACAATTTTTATCAGCGCGTAAGGGTCAAAATAAACTTATCGACCTTGATGTCAACAAACTGATGTCCACCCATTAGAGAACTTGCAAGTAATCTGCAATATATGGTTAGCGTTACGTTACACTTCTGCATGAAATTGCACGTTCTCTGATTTGTAGATTCCAATTTGTTGGTAACATAGCCAATGTGATAATTACAGCCTTCATCTATGGCTCAACTCAAGTTTCAGTTTCGTGGAGAGAGGAAATATAGTTCTGCTTTAAGTGGCTCCCAACTATTTATTTCGCTTTAGTATTCTACAGTGTTACCTTCTAGGATATCGATTACACCAGAAACCTTATTAATCACTGAAAAAGAAATTTTAAACTGTCTAAAGTATCAATACTAACTGAGAAGTCTGTCAAGTAAATTAACACGTACAACTTATGCATAATATGTCAGAAAATCCACAATTAACCTCCAGTTTATAAATATTCATGATCAAAAGCAGCGTCGAGTGTTGCTGTCACATGACAAATCAATAAACATTGGGCAGACGACTTTATGATCTAATATGAATGGGTGTTTGTCTATCTATTTCTTAAAATACGTAAAATAGCCAATCATATTCAAGCCAGTAAGGTCACCCTTTATTAGGTCATTGTTTCATCATTAGTGGACAAAAACCTAAGTATTCCATGTTAAAACGATGAGAATTGGTGTGGTGGGTTCAGGAATTGTTGGCCTTTCTACGGCTTTAGCAATAAAACAAAACTATCCAAATTCAGAGATTATTATACAGGCTTATAAAAAAGGTGAAGAGGTTACAAGTTATGGAGCGGCTGGAATATTTAGACCAGACCCTAAATTATTACCCGTGATTGATTCGGATACAGAAGAAAGATTGAAAATTGAATGTTCATTCAACCGCTGGTGTAATATTAGTCGTGAACATTATTGGAAGTTGGCTGCCAGTTCAAAATCAGCAGAATCTGGTGTCTACTTTCATCCAACATACCAACTATTTGTTGATTATCATAAAAATGAAATCCCTTTTGTCGGTAAATTATGTGGAAAAACAGTATACTTGGATGAAGAAGAGGTAATTAACAACATTTCTGCTTGGAGATTCTATTTCAAATATTTTCTTTTTTTCTTCTATAGATTCATTCACTTGGATTCAGTAATTCCATTAAGTCGGGTTATTTCTATATAACATGTATTGTGGAACCACGTTATCATATGACGTATTTATTGAATGAACTAGAAAGCTTAATGAAAACCAATTATCCAATTTATTCTTCTAAAACCGATCAATTCAATTCACTGAATGAGTTGTACACTTGGTCTAAAACTGAAAAATTGGACATAATTGTGAATTGTACCGGTTTAGGATCAGGTTTACTTTTCAGCGATTCGAAAATACAACCGGTTAAAGGTCAATTAGTGCGTGTTTATGCACCTTGGATGAAATTCGGATTTTATTTCGGAGTAAGTCTTACTTGAAACAGAACCAGTGAAGTAGAGTTTCTATGCATATATTTCAATTTGTGCTGTACATAAATTTTGTAGTGAAATGAAGAGGAATAATAAGATAAAATGCTGACTATTGGTTCATTTTGAGTTAAGCCGACCGACTGAAAACACTTTGATTGCAAGTTTTGTGGGATCTACTTCAAATGTGATTACAACTAAGATGCCTCTTCATTCTATTTCTCACTGTACATACGTATGTATTTCTATTCAAAGAATATTTTGGTATTCGATGAAATCATGAGGTGAGGTATGGGTCGGTTGACAGGAGTTATTGGGTTATTGAAAACTGTTGATAGCACAGCTAAAGATTACCAACAGTTGTGGGGATGTATTCAAGTGGTGGTTTGTAGGCGTTCGGTTGATCCCAAGTTATATTTGATCACTTATTATCATCTACTAGAGAATCATTTAGAAACTTACTGTCAGCTTCGGAATTATGAACCTTTTATTTATTCTTCATCTAATTGTCTTTTCGCTCATATTCATGTTCTTCAGTGCATTATCATTTCTACATTTCTATTCCCTTCATTTTTGTATGGTATATTTTTGAAGTGTGGAATTTACAGTTTAAAAAAACACTAATGTGTGCAGTTTGCCACAGGTTTGTTTGTCTATTCTGATGCACTTTTACCTTAGCACGACATCAGTATAATTTCATTTTAATGCTATAATTATAAAACTTGAGCACTGTGGTAGAGTATAACTCCATTATAGATAAGATTTTATTTTGATAAATCACACAGTGTTATACAGTAATATTAAGTGGTGACGTTTCGAGCACAAACTATTGCTCATAATCATATCAAGTTACTCACACAACGTTTTTCCTTCATTTATATACATCAGTGGAATCGATTAGATATTTGAATAGAAAATCAATATAGGATAATGTACATTCAGAAATAATAATAATAATCATTCCCATTTGATTGTATTTGATCAATAACACTCATATTATTATTTCTGAATGTACCTTATCCTATATTGATTTTCTACTCAAATATCTAATCGATTCCACTGATGTATATAAATGAAGGAAAAACGTTGTGTGAGTAACTTGATATGATTATGAGCAATAGTTTGTGCTCGAAACGTCACCACTTAATATTACTGTATAACACTGTGTGATTTATCAAAATTTCATTTTAAACTTGTTGACACTTATTTACGTACTTATCATTTAGTGTTTTCATTTCAGCTGATGAGCTATTGCGTAGTTTTCTTCCACCATTATGGCAATTGTAACGAATATACATTATGGTATCGGTTAATTTTCCAGTGGCCGGTCAGTGTTTGAATGAAGCAGTAACATCACATTTATTTCGTCTGTATCTTATCAACTGTTTGCAACCTGAATAATGAAAGTTAATGGCTTTATTACAGTTTTAACGTACTTTAGTTCGTTGGAAATAAAGTGTGTGTTCATGGTGTATAAATGAATCAAAATGTTAAGTTGTTGAAATATAAAAATATTACAGCACTTATATATGTGATGTAAGAGAAGTTTCTTGAATAAAATAGAAGTGTGTATCAAGGATATTATAATTTATGCTCTGTTATTGCTTTGCTCAAATTTATTTGAGGGGGGATCTGTGTATGAAACTGGTCAGTGTATTTAATTCACTCCTACAGGTGGTCAACTACGATCCGAATAGGTTACTCGTACTGCTGCAACTGCCGTACTAGATAATGCGGTTCTGAATCTCTGGAGGAATGTCAGCCTCATCGTCGTTGCAGACATCCTGCAGATTTCCCCCACCTGTACAAAATAGAAGTGCATTGTTCTTGGATTAAAGTTACTTCAATTCACAGTGCAATGGGAAATTCCTGAAAATATGATGACACTAAAGTGAGTATAAACGTGTCTGGAGGAGAACACCTAAAGGAATAAACTTCTGTTGTAATAAGTTTATCAGACCTGATGAATGTTTGTTTATTCAGACTTTTCTTAGCTTGATAACGATTCAGGCTGAATGAAGCACCTATATGTAGGGATCTAGAATGCTTTATATATGTATTACATACTCCAAGCGCCTGATTTAGTACAGGTTGACAATATTAGAGATCATTCTGAAATCATTTTTTTAAGTACCTATGCCCTGCTCTTTCAATGTTTTCAGTGCACACGACACATACCTAAGGCTCGCCAACAGTGGAGCAAAGCGTTTGATTCTGTAATTTAGCTCCAATCTTCCATTGAAAGTCTTTAAATTAGTATGGATACTTTCATCTACAGAAATAAGAAATCACAATCATCCTGATATACAGAGTAAAAAGGTTTTCGATATTGTTGAGTCATTAATTCCTTCACTTTGTTAACTTTAGTTCCTTCACTAATTAGCACAAATACGAGAATATTCCTTTTAAAACTGAATATTATTTAATTGTGTTACATGCTCTGTTGTTTGAATGAGTCATTCATATGTTTATTATTTCTGTTTCAATCCATTTATTTCACTTCAGCATGACGATACATACTGCTATTCAGGCAAAGAAAGTGTAATACTTGGTGGATTTCGAGAATCTTTACCCCCAGTTGTGAAAAGACCAATAACACGAGAAGATACTATTGTGTCACGTGAATCAACTGAAAGAATTCTTCAAAAAGTCGATAATGTATGGCATGGTGGTTTAGGTAAATCACCAATAGTTGAAGAATGGGTAGGATTACGACCATTTCGTCCATCAATACGATTAGAAGTGAGTCCAACAGTAATAGTAAAATGATATTTAAGGAATGACAATTAACAGAACAGTCCTACTTATACTTTTTTGATAAAGTCTCACAGTGTTATGTAGTAATATTTACTGATGACGTTTCGAGCACAATTTATTGCTCATAATCATATCATATGATTACTGTATAACACTGTGAGACTTTATCAAAATGAAATTTACCCATAATGGAATTACACTCTACCACATTGCCCAAGTTTTATTCTTATATCAGTCCTACTTATATGTAATTCCCAGTTGAGACATCCTAGTGCAAGGCACTTTCATTTCAGTGAATATCTGTCGTTTTGGTAAAGCCGGAAAGTGACAACCCTTAGTTCATCTCCATTTAGAAATAAATAAATGCACATGACGAATCATAAATAAGATGAAGCATAAAATATAGGATTCACTGCTAATTGTTACTAGATCCTTTAGATTTTGTATGTGGTTTTGTATAAGAATTTGATTAATTTGTATGCCAAATAGATGTATGATAAATGAAGTAGTCAATTTATAGTTTCCGAAACAAGGTAATTTCACCTGTTGGATGTTGGCTATTTCCATGGAGATACGTTTTTTAATTAGGTAAAGTGGGTAATTATTGATATCAGATTGTCAAGTGAACTCTTACAGGGATGAACTCTTTACCTTGGGTTCGTGTTTCATGATGCATATTGGAAAAATACATCTGGAAAATGTAGTACTTTTGCACCAGACACAATGGATTTATTGATAAAGTATTCAGACCATGACTGACCAACTGTATGATTGAATTATTTACTTCTGATACTATGTAAATGGATGAATTTTCTTAAACTTCAAGTGTTTGCTTGCAGGGATTTGATTGATTACAGGATTTCGTCATGAGCTGACATCGGTGAGAGGACCATTGGAAAACCTTGGAGTAATGGACAGCTGTTTCTTCCTAGTTTGGGACTCTTCAGCAGTACGCACCCACCGAAATTTCAACCCAGGACCTCCTGGTTACAAGGCGAGCTCGTATACCATTAAGCCACTGGGACTCAATCCAATGGCCCATGAATTCTAACTTATACCAATTCACGACATAGCGCAACCACTAGCCAATGTCTTCGGCGAGTATTTGTCCTACCTGTTGTGTGATATACTGGGTCTCATTTCCTAGGTTTGATACTTTATTAAGGTTTACCAACCTTATGTAAATTTGCGTTTGTAGGATTCAGTTTTTCTCCTACTGATAAGGTTGCTGAATGTAAGTTTTTGTCCTATGCTTCCTCATTTGTCAACTTGAGGTTTACAGAGGTTTGCCTGATTAGGAAGAATACATTTTTAATTCCACTTGCATTGAGGATTTCGGAAGTATCTTCTATCTCATATATGCAAAATTTAATAATAATAACAGCTTAATTCTGGACGAAATGTCTTCACAATGTACAGAATTATCAGTATCTTTTACTGTATAATATTTACTCTTTGTTGAGAATCTTCAGGTAAAATAATATTTGACAGTGTACTTTGATTGGACACTAGTAACTAGTGTGACGTGTCTAGTCCTTTCCTTGGTGCAGACTGAATTCTATCAGTCAGGTTTGCAATGTGGCCACCACTCTAGGAAGCTCGCCATCACGGTGCACATTGATTTGATGATATTAAATAGTTGGAGGCAATCGGCAGGATGCCTTGTACCTTAGTTCCTTCAAGGTTGCAGATACGCCTTGCTGACGAGTGCCAACTAGCTCGAAGCCTAGGTCCGAGGCTTCCTGCCGTTTGCCTCCAACTATTTAATATCATTCGACAGTGTGTTTCGTGACGCAGTGCTATTCGATCTTAAGTCAAAGCCAATCCTTTATGATATTTTCAAATCTTTCCCTTCGAGAAATACACAGCATTGAGTTGAAACATGTGAGATGAGTACATCTCGCGTCCCAAGGACACAAAATAATGAAATAGGGTTAATTTGATGCATTATTTGCGATGGAAAATCAGGGAGTAAGGATATAATTTATTCCAAAACAAACTCTCCGCTCTTTCATCTCAATACTCTTGAATATGTAGAATACAGGTGGCCAACTGAGATTTGAATTCCCTCAGGTAGTTAATCTTATTTAATTTTATATTATGTGCTTAGAGGAATACTTTAATCATATCACATGTTACGTTTGGTTGTTTTAAAGATGCATCACCACATTTTTTACATACTAGGGATACATGTTGTGGTGTTCGCGATGCCATGTGCGAAAAAAACCCCGTGATAGCTTTTATCCTTACTAGAAATTGGTTAGCCCAGTGATTTAAACAGGCTACCATTATCGAAATGATAGTCGATTGTAACTGTTGTATCACTACTTCAATGTTTATTCTTGCTTTAATCCAATTCATAATAATTCCTTTAGTTTAATGGCAAATTGAATTGATTATCTAACACTTTCAGCATTGATTCGAGTAGAGTTTTAAAGATTTAGAATATCGTCTAGAAGGTCCGATTCGGACTGATTATCACGGAAGAGATAACTTACGCGTACATTCGAATTTCACAGAAATGAACACTTTCAGTTCATTTTCACTGAATAACTTACTTCTGTAGTGATATAGCAATCATTATTAATACACATTCAACTACTAATACCAACTATTATTAAAATATATGTAATCCAAAATATTAGTTGATTCACAGAATGGTTTCATTTCCAAGTTTTGGTTTGCAGGGATTCTGTTGATTTCAAGTTATATCACTAACTGAACTTGAAAAACAGGGGGTGCTGAACAGTTGTCTGTCCTAATTCGGGACTTTTCAGCCCTACGCACTCATCATCCCACCCATTGGGAAAAGAAATCGAGACTAGCTAACCACTCAGACAATGCGATGGCATCCTTTTTCGATTGATAAGGAGCACAACTAGCTACCGAATAAGTTATAAAAAGAACTACACATATTACATAAATACAAAACCACCACACTCTCGTTTCTTCATACACTTGTCTATGACACTTTTATTTGAACAAGAGTAGTAAAAAATATAGTTGAAAAAGAAAAAATATCTCATTTTAATCCTTCTTTGGCTTTATGAGTCCGTTTGATAAGATACAGATTTCTTTACGAGCGCATGGTGTTTAACTGCCGTTTCAGCGTTCAGATTAAGGTGAAAGTTCATATTATTTACCAGCGATATATAACAGCAAGTAATGCAACAGAAGATAGTATGATTGTAAAATCATGATAAATATCTGTACTTCAGCTCGATACTGAAGATCACATTGCTGGAACAGATAAGCAACAAGGAACTATAGAAGCAAACCAGATGTAATTTCAAGTAGTGATGCTGCCTAACTATCTGAAGAATGTGTACGAACAACTGAATGTAACACGATAGTGTCAGATGTCGTCAATTTAAACAGTGAGGGACACTGCAAGATGCTGATTAATTATCTAGGCAATAGGTTAATAATACAAAGGTATTATTCACCCCTACAAGTTTCTATAGTATGCTTTTAGATTAATATTCCTTCCACTAATCTCTGTTTGATTTCGCGGGATAGACTGCATTCACAAAGGAAATGTTAAATAGTACTGCACCAGTGTGTTAAAGCAAGCGGATTCGTATATTGTGCAGCTGTACTCTACTACAGTATCAAAACTTTATTCGTACAGTGCTAAATATGGTATTAGATTTAACTACTTTGGTCTATGAGCTCGCCTTGTAATCAGAAGGTCCTGGGTTCGAATCCCGGTGGGCGCGTACTGTGAAGAGTCCCAAACTAGGACGAAACAGCTGTCCAGTACTCCCAGGTTTTCCAGTGGTTCTCTAACTGGTGTCAGCTCATGATGAAATCCCCATTGCAATCAAACAAAATCCCTACAAAACCAATACTTGAAAATTACTTTGATCTACGTCTTCAATGACCTATTTCTCAATATGTTTTGTTGTAGTAGTATAATAATGTCTAAATAAGTATTGTACAACTCTTATTAGATTGAGTGGTGTCGACCGGAAGATATACATCAACCCTTGCCAATTATTCATAATTATGGACATGGTTCAATGGGAGTTGCACTAAGCTGGGGTACTGCAATGGATGCTGTGAAACTGGTTGAAGAAGCTCACAAGTCTAGTCTTAACTCCTGTTGTTGATTAAACCTTTCAGTGTATTATCACTGTGATTATTTCTTACTAATACTGGTAACTTAATTATTAAATACGTCTACATTACACTGATTTACTGCACAGCATTTGTTATTTTTTTGATATATTGATAATTTTGAATGTTTCAACCTTTTCTACATGTATTACCAAGTAAAACTTCCTGTCTGCTTAGTTTCGTGAACAATTCCATTTAATGGCCTAGAACAATCATCGTAGCGAATATCACCTCTGAGATAGTTATCTAAGGTTCTTGCCTACTTGAGGAAAAGTAGGATAAAGTTTGTGTGACCGTGGAGCGTCGTAGGTGACTGAATGAATCCAGTCACAAGTGATTAGCTTGGTGGTTAAAGAGTTTTAAAAGTTTTGATATGAAAAAACCTCCACAGGCTGCACATGTCTGTAGTATTAACCAGGATATACGATTTTTGAGGCCAACTTTTAGAAACTCCAACTCTTCAGAGCTTGCTGGTTGTTTGACGGAAATATTTAACAGCTGCTACACCCGTATTCGCCACCTACGCCATTTACTCTCGTTCCAGCCAAAATTGTTCGTTGGGCCATTTCAATAAGAGATCATACTTCCATATACAAGAAGCATCGACAATGTTAAAGCTTATAAATATGAACGTGGAGCATTTTATAGACTTGAGTGACGATAAATTTAAAAAACTGGGAGAGTTTGTTTTCAAGCTGAGATTAATATCATGTTCTTAGCAATTTATATCTCACCTAAAATTCCACAGTGAGTTTCAATAACGCAACCTTCAGTAGAAGTTAGATATCATGTAGTTGTGGGTAGTCTTTCTGCAGCATATAACGAACACAAATGACACTACTGTCCGCTGAAATTTATTATGTTTACAGTTCGCTGAAGTTTCAGCTACTTGAAATTGAAATTACAACCACTGGTACCACCAGCACTGCAATAACTAATTCAAATATTGTACTGCGCTATTAGTGATAATAGACAGAAGCGGTATGTGTTGCGTGATATTTAAAAATCAAGAATAATACACAGTTAGCTACGAAATGTATTGGAAGAGAAAGCAAAACAGATGGGTACAACTCTAAGGAGAACCGAATAGGCGACAGATAGTAAAAAAGCTAACATCGAAAATACAGAATAGATAATATCAGTAACAAGTAGTGAAATGAATGTAAGATTTATTTTTATCAATGATCATGTCAATTTATCCAAGTAAAGGTACCTTCCGTTCCCACCAGCCTTTCCCTCCATACCAATGATAGGACTGATACTACATCTCTTTGCGGAATGACTGATAACAAGCATTGATGATACTATGAAACTATAGTACAAACACACTATCGTCAAATTCAGAAATGCTTATCTGTTGATAGTAAACCAAATCATAACAACAACTGAATCGCATAAAAGACGAAATATATTGCCATATCGACGCTGTTAAGCCAGGATTCATGACTAGCCTACTAGGGATAATGTCCCAGCAAATAAATGAAACACGATTGGGTACCAAATAGCGTATCTTGTTTTACCGCTTACTACAGCCTAACCATTCAACTTAAATAGTGAAATTCAGTGCTAAATGTTGAATAATGGTGAAACTGTTGGTTAGTATCAATTTTAGTCAATTACTTACCACTACATGCACTAGTACCAACTTAGTAAGTATACTGTTAAACTTCTAAGTGTTAACAGAAAAAGACTGAGTCATTCAAAAGTGTACCTTCAAAAACGAGAAATTCAACAGATGAAAGGGCTAAGAACAATTTTAGGAGAAGTTTGTCAACTAATCTAACTAGCAATGCCTAGTGCAGGACCTCCAAGATCGTGTATGTGTGTAAACCAGGAAAAATGATGCAAAAAACTATCGTCTAGTCCTTCTTGAACGAATACTCGTTAAGACAAAAGACGTGAGACATTTTAAACATCCAGACGTGAGTCGGCAGTTTGTTTGGCAATTATTATTCCTTTGCGTTCTGAGTGGAACATAGCGCTTCAACAACACGTCTCCACTTTGTTCTCTTTTCTGCCGTCCTCTTCAGCTGGGTCCACGACTGACCAAACTCTCTCATCTCTTCCTCACACGATCTCCTCCATGTCACCCTAGCACCGACGACTCACTCGTCGCTTCCTATTGGGATTCCATTCGAGGGCCTGGCGCGCAATGTCATTCGGCGGCTTTCTTAACGTATGTCCGATCCATATCCACTTTCTCCTACATATTTGTTGAGCAATCGGCTGTCGCCTGTTGGTTTGTTCCCATAGTTTCTTGTTGCTTATTCTTTCTGACTATTTGATCTTCAGTATGGAGCGAAGGCAGCTGTTTATGAAAGTCTGCAACTTGTTGGAAATCCTTTTCGTGACACGCTGGCCAAGTTTCTGACCTGTATGGAAGGACCGATCTCATATTGGTGTTGAAAATCCGAATCCTGTTCCTTATGCTGAGTGTAGAAGATTTCCATACTGGTTTCAGGTTGATGAAGGCGTATCTTGCATCTCCGACTCTGACTTTGTCATATTCGTCCGTTGCGCCTGTCGTTGAAACGATGCTTCCCAGGTAAGTGAAGGAGACTGCTATTCACTTATTTTATCTTCAATCGTTTTAGAGTCACGAACAAGAAGTACTTAATTTTTCCATGTAGCATTGATTTATGTCTAGAGTTTTTCTACTTCTTTAGCACGCCTGGGGATAAAGAAATGATGAAGTTAGTCCTGGAGATAAAACTTCTTTCATAAAATATCAAAGCCGAAATAAAGGCAAAATAATTTCCTTACCCGAAAATCTTCTTTAAAATTCGAATCTTTGTATGAAATCCTGTACGGAAACTTATAATCGAACTTTCGGTAAAAGAAACCAAACGTTTGAGTTAGGCGTAAAATCCAAAACAGGATTTGTCTGAAATACGTTACTATATTACTCAAAAATAAATAAGTGGAATGTACAAGCCTTAAATTGTGAGGTGTCTAGGCTGTATGCCATCGAGTGCACTGTCACTGTGCGTCAGTAAGAAAAAGTACCGCAGCTGTGTCAAAGGTGACCTAGGTGGGAGTAAAGAGATTCGGAAAATCAATGTTCAACGCAGGGTGGAACATAAAGAAGAAATGTAAAGTAAATTCATTGTAACCATAAGATAATTGATCCAGTTCAAATGGAATGTTTATACAATAAGTGAGATGGATTCCAGCAGAAATCAATAACTATGTTTACGGAGTAATAAAGTGGTATATGAAAGTGTGACCTCATACTGCTTACTAGTGATAGGTGGTATGAAGTTGGACACAAATGAAAAAGAGATAAAGGACTGATAAAGAAGGAATTAATAACCTGTCTATTGAATGATGGAATTGAAATGTCTGGAGATGACTACTGAAGAATCCAATGGAACTGGAGAAGCATGGAAATTTCTAATCCATTTCTGTCATGTCGTAAAATTGACTCACTGACATCATTCAGATAAATTTCAAAAATTATAAACAAGATCTCATACTGGAATTACTTCATATTAAGTGGAATTACGGATTGAGACGCAGATTGACTTGGATCGAAAACTCCCTGTGAATTGACAAAATCAACCTAAATTTGATAGGCATTTTCACTATGTTGGCAAAATTCACACAATTAACAATCTAAACAAATCTGTTACCTTTATCAGTTTAATAGGCAAATGATTCAGAACAATTTCATCTGGTTATACTATGATTAAGTTACCATATGTAAGCTGGTGATATTAAAATACTAATGGGAGACATGAACGCTAAACTGGGACCAGACAACATAGGAAGGAAACCCATCATGGGTAGAGAAGCTCTCGGGGAAATGAAAGGAAATGGAGAACTCTTCGCCGACTTCTGCACCTTCAATGAACTAGTGATTGGTGGCAGCGTATACAAACACAAGGATATCCACAAGGCTACATGGGTGTCACCAAATGGCTGAACCAAAAACCAAATTGACTTCATCCCAATCTCAAGGAAGGGGAGGTGCAGCCTGCTGGACACAAAAGTAAGAAGAGGAGCAGACGTTGGCTCAGACTACTATCTTGTACAAGGGACAATCCAAATCAAATTAAAAGCTTTCAGAGAAACAGGAGCTGCAGATAGACCACAAGCCAAGTTCAACACTCAAAAACTGAAGGACCAGGACACAAATAACATCTTCACTGCAAGCATAAGGGAAAAAGCCGAGACACAAATCAACATTAGTGAAGAGGTCAGCGTCAGAGAGCACTGGAACAACTTGAAAACAGTGTGGAGTCAAACCTTCATGGAAGTTCTAGGTAGAAAGAAGAGACAAGACAAACAGGGTTCACTACCGACACTTGGAAACTAATAGAAGAGAGAAGGGTGGTGAAACAAAAGATTCTCCAGTGCACTGACGAGCAACACAAACAGGATTTCAATGCGAACTACAAGACACTGAACAAAAGAGTAAAGAAGAGTGCCAGAGAAGACAAAAGAAAGTATTATGAAGCCATGGCAAGTGAAGCAGAACAAGCTGCAGGCAAAGGAGACCTCGCAACACTCTACCAAACAACTAGGAACCTATCGGGTAAACGTTTGACACAAATTTTAAGCCGGTGAAGGATGACAATGGAAAGTCAATCACCAAATAAGTAGAGCAAAGGAAACACTGGGCTGAACACTTCAAAAGACTCCTAAATCAACCACCACCTACAACGCGCCCAACAATACCAACAACGGAGACAGAGCTACCAGTGAACACCAACCTCCCGACGAAATCAGAAGTTCTGAGGGCATTCAAGATGCTAAAAGCTGGGAAGCAGCAGGACCAGATGGAACCCCAGCAGAAGCGTTGAAAGTGGACCCAGAGACAACAGCGGGCTTGATGACGCCACTACTGGAGAAGGTGTGGAAAGAAGGCGAAGTACCCGAAGATTGGAAGAAAGGATACTTATTCAAACTAACAAAGAAAGGAGACTTAAGTCAATGCAAGAACTGGCGCGGAATTATGCTCCTGTCCACCCAAGCAAAATACTAAGCCGCA